ATTTTTAGTAGAGACGGGGTTTCACCATGTTGACCAGGATGGTCTCGATCTCTTGATCTCGTGATCCACCCGCCTCGGCCTCCCAAAGTGCTGGGATTACAGGCTTGAGCCACCGCGCCCGGCCCATTTACATATATTTTTAATCATTTTGATCAATGTTTGTAGATGTCAAGGTAGAAACTTCTCATCTTTTTACCTTTATTCCTATGTATTTCTTTTTATTTTTTTGAGACAGAGTTTCGCTCTTGTTACCCAGGCTGGAGTGCAATGGCGCTATCTCGGCTCACCGCAACCTTCACCTCCTGGGTTCAGGCAGTTCTCCTGCCTCAACCTCCTGAGTAGCTGAGATTACAGGCACACTCCACCATGCCCAGCTAATGTTTTGTATTTTTTAGTAGAGACGGGGTTTCACCATGTTGATCAGGATGGTCTCGATCTCTTGATCTCGTGATCCACCCGCCTCAGCCTCCCAAAGTGCTGGGATTACAGGCGTGAGCCACCGCGCCCAGCCTGGAAATACTTTCTTAATTTTCTCTTAAAACTTTTTATTGTAGATGTATGGAAATTGAACTGATTTTTGGTGCTGATACTGTATTCTGCAAATACGCTGAATGTGTTCATTAGTTCCAGTGGAATTTAGTTGACTCTGTGATTTTCTACACAGAAGATCATGTCATCTTCAAACAAATACAGTTGTACTTTTTTTCTGATTTGAATGAGTTTTATTTCTCTTGCTTTGTAATTACTCTTGCTAGGACAACAGTATTTATTGAATAGAAGGAGTGAGAGCATACTTACATCATAAGACTCTACAAGAAAAGCATTGTGTTTGTTTTGATGTTATTTCTGCTGTGGTAATTTCAAGGATGGTCTTTATATTATTGAGGCAAATTTCCTTCTCTATTTTGTTTAGGTTTTCTTTTTCTTTCTTTTTCTTTCTTTTTTTTTTTTTTTAAATAGATGGGGTCTCACTATGTTGCCCAGGCTGGAGTGCAGTGGCTATTCACAGGCGCGATCCCGCTACTGATCAGCATGGGGGTTTTGACCTGCTCCATTTGTGACCTGGGCTGGTTCACTCCTCCTTAGGCAACCTGGTGGTCCCCCGCGCCGAGGAGGTCACCATATTGATGCCAAACGTAGTGCGGACACCTGATTGGACACAATACAGCCCAGAACTCCTGGACTCAAGCGATCCTTCAGCCTCAGCCTCCCAAGTAGCTGGGACTACAGGCATATGTCAGTGCACCAGGCAGCTCGTTTAGGATTTCTATGATGACTGAATGTTGAATTTTGTGAAATGCTTCTTTCCCATCTATTCAGATGATGTCTTTTTCATCTTTCATTCCATTCAAATGGTATATCACATTGATTGGCTTGAATATGTTGAACCATCCTTGCATCCCAGAAATAAGTGGCGCTCGAATATCTACAATCCTTTTTATATCCTCTCAAATACAGGTTTTTAGTACAAGTGGTCTTCAAGAAGTTTATTTTAAAATATGTATTGTGAGAAAATTGTGCATGACTTTCACACTTTAGCACCTAAATAAACTGGTACAAACTTGTTTTAACATGTCTGAACAAAGGGCCGGGTGTGGTGGCTCACGCCTGTAATCCCAGCACTTTCCGAGGCCGAGGCAGGGGGATCACAAGGTCAGGAGATCGAGACCATCCTGGTCAACATGGTGAAACCCCGTCTCTACTAAAAATACAAAAAATTAGCAGGACATGGTGGCACGTGCCTGTAATCCCAGCTACTCAGGAGGCTGAGGCAGGAGAATTGCCTGAACCCAGGAGGCGGAGGTTGCGGTGAGCCGAGATCGTGCCATTGCACTCTAGCCTGGGTAACAAGAGCGAAACTCCGTCTCAAAAAAAAAAAAAAAAACATGTCTGAACAGGCTCTATTATGAGCCACTCAGAAGGGTAAGACATGAGTTTGAGAAGAGACTCTGTCAAAGCAGTACAATTTCTGCTAAACTTGAAACAAGAAGAAACATCAAATTTATGTTGAGAGCAGACACAGTGGCTGAGGCCTGCGATCCCAGCACTTTCAGAGGCTGAAACGTGGGTCACGTGAGCCCAGGTATTCAAGGGCAGCCTGGGCAACATGGTGAAATCCCCTTCTCTACCAAAAATACAAACGTTAGCTGGGCATGGTGGCACATGCTGCAGACACAGGTACTGTGGAGTCTGTGGTGGGAGGATGGCTTGAGTCTGGGAGGTTGAGGCTGCAGTGAGCTGTGATCATGCCACTGCCCTTCAGTGTGGATGACAGAGCAAGATTCTCAAATAATACGGTAAAGATCGGGTACAGAAATAATGAAATCATTGATGCTGTATGAAAAGTTTATGAGGACAATGACCAAAAGAAATCAGCCATGTGTAAAAGGATACCTCATTTTGAGTTGGGAGAAGACAATGTTTGTAGTGATGTGTAGGGGGGAGATCCCACAAGTGCTGAGGCAGGAGCAAAAGGCTTCAGCCTATTTCCGTATAAATAATGAAGAAGAAAGTAACCAGAAATATAACTGTAGTAGTTATTAGTTATTCATAGGTGATATTAATTCTTTTACTAATGCCTCTTAGGTTGGAAGTGTGAACCTGGAGTGACATTGTGAAATGAATGACACTAAGGCAAGATGCTCTAAGCCCTCTGTCACACCCGCATAAGGGCTGCTGGAGGGCGCCTTGGCTGTGCAGCAGCCCCAGTGCTGGGAAAGCGCCCGCTGTTCAGCCAGCTAGGGAAGGAGACGTCGAGAATAGCTGAGACGTCTCCTTCCCTGGAGGAGTTAGGAGAAAACTCTGCTTCTCCAAGCTCTCATGTTAAGGCCTGATGGCTGTCAGGGAGACCCGCAGACATCCTGAGGCTTAACTTTGTCTATGTGATGCTGCGCTTCAGTGGGCACATTCCATGTCTACTCTTATGTTCTGCTTCTGCACCTGATTCCTTTTTTCTTAGAAAAGGTAATCAGTAAATAGTAATATAAATCTTAATGTTGTAGTTCTTTCTTGATAAGCATGAAAAAAGTGCTGATGCATTATGCCCCTTACCTCACTTCGGGTGCCAGAAATTCCTAAGCCCCTACCTGAATGAGGCGTAATGTACTTGACCCTATCACTGCCATGCCCTATCTACACTGCCCCGAGTCTCCAACCACCAAGACCACGCCCTACCTACCCTGCCCTCAGATTTGCCACTCAATAAAAATGAGAGCATCCCGGCATTCTGGGCCACTGCTGGTCTCTGTGATTTGAGTAGCAGTAAACCCTTGGGCCCAAACTCTCTTTTCTCTATCTCTGTGTCTTGTTTATTTTATTTCTACAATTTCTCATCTCCGCACCAGCCCAGAGGGGCTCACAGAACCCTGTAGGGCTGGACCCTACAGTGATGCACACAGCAGCAGGCAGATCATCCACATCAGTGTTACAGAAAAAAATAAATCTTGTTCCTGCCACAATGAAGAGGACTGCCAGCTAACAGCAGAAACAATAGGAGTTTGAGACCAGCCTGGTTAACATGGTGAAACCTCATCTCTACTAAAAATACAAAAATCAGCTGGGCATGGTAGTGGGTACCTGGAATCCCAGCTACTCAGAAAGCTGAAGCAGGAGAATCACTTAAACCCTGAGGAGGACGTTGCAGTTAGCCGAGACGACGACACCACTGCACTTTATTCTGGGCAATGAGAGCAAAACTCCTTCAGGAAAAAAAAAAAAAGATGGGAAGCCTCTTCTCTTTTTTTCTCCACCGTCATGGTGTGTCCTTGACTTCACTTCTCACCATGTCTTCTTATGAGACTTTTACAATTAAGCGATTCCTCGCCAAGAAACAAGCAAAATAGTGCCATTCCCCAGTGGATTCAGATAAAAACAGGTAAGAAAATCAGGTACAAGTCCAAAAAAAATGCATTGGAGAAGAACCATGCTGGGTCTATAAGGAATTGCACATGGGATGCTACATGTATTTCTACCTGAAGGTCACAAACACATTACCATATCAAGCTGAAAATGACACTATCTGGAGAATTGGACATTTTTATTTGGAATATATTTGTCTCTCTGTTATAAATGCGTTGATTGGCTGGGTTCACTAATATGTATGATGTTTTTATTATTTTATTTATTAAAACGAGGTTTCACCATTTTGCCAGGCTGATCTCAAACTCCTGACTTCATGTGATTTACACGCCTCGGCCTCCCAGAGTACTGGCATTAACAAGCGTGAACCACTGCACCCGGAAGACTTTCCATTTCAAAAAAAGAAGCCAGTGGAGGCCAAGGCGGGCGGATCACCTGATGTCAGGAGTTCAAGACCAACCTGACCAACATGGTGAAACCCCATCTTAAAAAAAAAAAAAAAGCCGGGCGCGGTGGCTCAAGCCTGTAATCCCAGCACTTTGGGAGGCCGAGGCGGGTGGATCACGAGGTCAAGAGATCGAGACCATCCTGGTCAACATGGTGAAACCCCGTCTCTACTAAAAATACAAAAACATTAGCTGGGCATGGTGGCGCGTGCCTGTAATCCCAGCTACTCAGGAGGTTGAGGCAGGAGAATTGCCCGAACCCAGGAGGCGGAGGTTGCGGTGAGCCGAGATTGCGCCATTGCACTCCAGCCTGGGTAACAAGAGTGAAACTCCGTCTCAAAAAAAAAAAAAAAAAAAAAAAAGTCAAATGATATAATTCCATAGAGCACCTTAATGTCTGTTTTGCTTTGTATTTTTTTTTTTGAGATGGAAACTCCACTGGGTTGAGTGTATCACACTTGTGGTCCTCGCACTTTGGGAGGCTGGGGTGGGAGGATTGTTGAGACCAGGAGTTGTCTAGGAATCTTCTAGTCTTTCCTATCCTCGTTTATGACAGAACCTTGGACTTTACTGTTAAGTGTGGGTAACACCCCTTCTGGGCACCAAGCACAGACAGCTAAGCAGACCCCTGGCACAATTAGTGCCTGAAGACTATCTTAGTTTATATTGTTACTACTCAGCCATTTCCTTTTGTATAATCCTGTATGTATACTCATATTAGTTTATAGTCAGAACAATGAGTGGCTGAAGAATACGTTATTACTCAGTTATATATATATATATATATATATATATATATATATATATATAGTTTATATTTGGAGAAATGTCTAGAGGAGACATGGTACAGAGCATGAATTAAGGGAAAACAAGTATATATATATATATATATATATATATAAGCATATCTTGCTTATACTCGGAGGAATGTCTAGAGTAGACATGGTGCAGAGCATGAATTAAGGGAAAAACAGTTGGACAAGAATTGATGGCCTAGGCGGTAGTGTTCAGCATCATAAAGATACCCATGCATGGCAGACTTGGAACAAGAGTCACTCCTCCTGGGAGGAGTGATTTCTTGCATTTCAATTCCTGGGAGTTTCAATTTCTTGCGTCCAGTTCCTGGGAAAGGCTGCCCTCTTGTTGTTAATCCCACGAGCCTCTGAGCACTTAAAACCCCTCTGGTATAATTGCACCTTGGTGGCTGTATAACTTGTCAGCTCTCTAGCTACTGTGCTGACTCAAAGCATTCTCCTCTAGAAATTATTGGAAGCTGCCAGCAGGTGGCAGTAGACCCTGTCAGCTCTTACTGCTGCACTGACTCAAAGCATCCTATAGACAGAGGTAGCTTGCCCATAGATAAGAGATGTTGCAGCCTCCTTAGTGCACGCTGCCCACCTCCTCAGTGACCTAATGAGGGTGAACCCCTTGCTTATCATTCACGTGAATGTCTTGACCCTATCACTGTCCTTAAGATGACCTCACTCACTACTCTGCCCCCAACCTATACCCAATAAATACAGACGCTTCTGGACATTTGGGGCCTCACCTGTCTCCACTTGTAAGTGGCTTAGCCCCCCGAGTCCAGCTGCACTTTTTTTGTCCTTCTATGTCTTGTCTCTTTCTTTCTTGGATTCAGCGCTTCAACATAGTGATAGGGGACACCCCTTGACCCTGTAGGGCTTCACCCTACATTAATGAGAAATCTGTATTTTAAAAAATCACTGCGACAAAGCATTGTGTGTCACTAGGTTGTGAAAAGAAAATCAAAATTACTAAGCTGAAGAGAAAAGTCAAACTGGGAAGTGCATCAGACAGACCTGCCTCCCATTTTATTCCTAACCAAGATAGCTACGAGAATGAAAAAAACAGCTACATACAACCCGGGTGCGGTGGCTCACGCCTGTAATCCCACTACTTTGGGAGCCAAGGCGGGCGAATCACCTAAGGTCAGAAATTTGAGGCCAGCCTGATCAACATGGTGAAACCTAGTCTCTACTAAGAATACAAAATTAGGGCCGGGCGCGGTGGCTCACGCCTGTAATCTCAGCACTTTGGGAGGCCGAGGTGGGTGGATCACGAGGTCAAGAGATCGAGACCATCCTGGTCAACATGGTGAAACCCCGTCTCTACTAAAACTACAAAAAATCAGCTGGGCATGGTGGCGCGTGTCTGTAGTCCCAGCTAC